TCAGCACATCTAACCCCTCCACCTAGGTATGGAGGGGATGCTAAGACATGCAGGGGATTCCTTAATCAAGTGGAATTCCACTTTGAAATGTATCCACGTTCATTTCCCACTGATAGATCTAAGGTGGGTTTTCTTATGCACCAACTTACTGATAAAGCACTTGAGTGGGCAAATCCTATTTGGGAGGCTAATGGACCTATGGTACATGATTTCAATAGCTTCCTTACGGCTTTTCGTAGAACCTTTGACACAACTAAAAGGTCAAAGAATGCAGCCAGGGCGTTAATGAGAATTAAGCAAGGATCTAAGTCTGTTGCTGATTGTAAGGAAATCAAGTATAGCTGAACCGCTTTGATTATTCCTCCTGCAATGCCAGCGTCTAGGGTAAACCCAAGCAATGAAGTCCATAAGAAATATAACAGCTTCCCAAGATAATCCCCTTGGTAAAGCATACGAATTCCCAAATAACAGTCAGAGTCCAGAATCAGGATACAAGTAGATCTGAGGTCTGGAATCTCCAGCCTGCTTTTTATTAGGGTTACAGACAAAAAATACACACCCAGGGGGAGGCATTAAATCACCAATCAGGTACAGGTTACAGCCCCTACCTCCCTCCCCTCTGATAAACAGTTAACTTCATTAAAACGTGCACTATTTTACCCCAGTTCTGGATGTACCCCAAAAACAGGGGGTACACCTTTAAATTGGGCACCGCTGGATAGTGCTCACTTGTGGGGACAATATGTCAAAAAATCAGTCCATTCGGATGAATGGTTCGGGAGTTATGGAGCACTAAAGTTTTGACCGACCGCACGGATCATCTAGCCGAAAATAGTTCCATAAGTTTTGGCCCTGCGGTCGGTCTCCGTTTAGGCGAATAAAAAAGACGAAAGTCCTGCCATCCGTTCGCATCTTTGTGGTCGTTGAAATCCCCATACGAAGTTGCATGTAACTACCGAACGGCCGGTGATTCGGTTTTTTTCCGTGCGAAGTTCTGGATGTATGGAGGTCTCAGCGGTGTTCGCCTGTTTGCGTATCCGATTTTAGTTCCACGCGTTTGACGGGCAAACACCGCTGTTCGCACGTAAAATGGCCGCGACCACGTGTAAAGTGCCGAAATGGCGGCCACCTAGAGTTTACACGGGGAATTCGCCTGAATCCATTCGAAGGGTAGAACTTATAGCTATATGCCGAATTCCAGCTGAATTGGGTGAATTAACTTGTGCAACAAAGGTAGAAATCCTGATGAACGGAGTCATTTCTTCACACTGCTCCCCTATAAGTCCATAGGTCGGCATACCCGCCTAGACCCTGTCGGGTTGGCTTGGGGATGTCCGATGAAAGTATGTTTTTAGGTGTCCAGTTCGGTCTGGCGGGACAGTCCATCCGCATTCCCATTTTGTTTACCCGGACGGTACTGCATGGTAAAATTGTATGGTTGGAGAGCTAGGCTCCACCGGAGTAGCCTGGGGTTGTCACCAGCTACCCGGTTGAGCCATACCAGGGGGTTGTGGTCGGTCATAAGGGTAAACGCTCGCCCATACAGATAGGGCTGAAGTTTCTTGAGGGCCCACACGAGGGCCAAGCACTCTTTTTCTACGGTGGCATAGCTGACTTCTCGGGGCAAAAGTTTACGGCTGAGGTATGCCACCGGGTGTTCCATGCCATCCGCCCCCACCTGGCTTAGTACGGCTCCCAGCCCAAACATGGAGGCATCTGTGTGTACAAGAAATTGTTTAGTGTAATCGGGTGCTGCCAACACAGGGGCCTCACTCAATGCCGCTTTGAGCTTCTGGAAAGCGTCCGTGCACTCTGGGGTCCAGGCGACCTGTTTGGGAAGGGCCTTTTTGGTAAGGTCCGTGAGGGGCTTGGCCAGGGCGCTATATTCTGGGACGAACTTCCTGTAATACCCGGCCGTCCCTAAGAAAGCCAGTACCTGGGTTTTGGTCCGGGGTTGGGGCCAGTTAGCTATGGCCTCTACCTTAGCGGGCTCTGGGCGTTGTCTACCGGAGCCGACCCGGTGACCTAGATACTGGACCTCGGCTAGGCCTACGTGACATTTGTCGGGTTTTAAAGTGAGCCCGGCGAGGTGGATTCGTTCGAGTACCCTGGACACATGACCCAGATGGTCTCCCCATGTGCGGCTATAGATGGCAATATCATCTAGATACGCACATGCGAAGTCCTGCAACCCCTCCAGGAGCCTATCCGCCATCCGCTGAAACGTAGCCGGGGCGTTCTTCATCCCAAAGGGCATAACCTTGAATTGGTATAGCCCAAACGGGGTGACGAACGCCGACTTGGGGATGGCCGCAGGCTCCAGGGGGATCTGCCAATAACCCTTGCACAGGTCCAGGGTAGTCAAGTAGTTCCCCCCCGCCATACGATCTAAGAGCTCATCTATTCTAGGCATGGGGTAGGCATCGGTTATGGTACGGTCGTTAAGCCTCCGGTAATCTACACAGAAGCGCGTAGTGCCGTCGCGCTTCGGTACTAGTACCACCGGGGAGGCCCAAGGACTTTGGGAGGGTTCTATTACCCCTAGCCTTAACATATCCCTTAACTCGGTGAGCATACTCTCACGTACTGCTTCCGGGATCCGATATGGCTGTTGCCGTAGGGGCGTCTCTCCCTGGGTTTCCACACGGTGGACCGCAGCGGAGGTATAGCCGGGGGTAGCGGAAAACATCTCTCGGTATCCCTGCAGCAGTTGAGTAGCCTCACCTTTCTCCAGGTGGTCTAAATTTTGCCCCAAGCTTACTTGGTCAATAGTACAGGGGGTGGTATCCAGTAAGTCAGGGAGGGGTAGCCCTTCACTATCCTCTGTGGCGGGGGCGCACACGGCGCCCACCTCCTCTGTCCTTTCAAAATATGGTTTGAGCATGTTCACATGGAAGGCTTTGGTCAGCCTTTCATCTGAGCATTTGCTCACGATGTAGGTAGTCTCGCTAACCTGTTCCACTACCTTAAAGGGTCCCTGCCAGGCTGCTTGCAGCTTGTCCTTTTTAACGGGCCTCAGAGCCAGTACCTTCTGCCCTAAGTCCAGCACTCTATCCTGGGCCCTCCTATCGTACCACTTTTTCTGGTCCTCCTGGGCCGCCTGCAGGTTCTCCCGAACCGATTCGGTGAGGGCCCGCAGACGGTCCCGGAACTCCAGGACATACTGGACGATAGGGACTCCCCCCTCATCTGTATTGCCCTCCCAGTGTTCCCGTACGAGCTCCAGTGGGCCCCGAACTTTTCTCCCGTACAGGAGTTCGAAGGGGGAAAACCCAGTGGAGGCCTGGGGCACCTCACGGTAGGCAAACAGAAGGTGGGGAAGGAATTTTTCCCAATTCTTGTGGGACTCTGTAAAAGTTTTTAGCATCTGTTTTAGAGTGCCATTGAAACGTTCACAGAGCCCGTTAGTCTGGGGATGATACGGGGCGCTGAACAGGGGCTGCACTCCGCAGCTCTGCCACAGTTGTTGCGTCAGGGTGGCTGTGAACTGCGTCCCCCGATCGGAGAGTATCTCCTGCGGGAAACCTACTCGGGTGAATATCTGAATAAGGGCCTCTGCCACGGTCTCGGCCTCTATATTGGTGAGGGCGACTGCCTCCGGGTATCTAGTGGCGTAGTCAACCACCGTTAGGATAAACTTTTTGCCCGACGGACTGGGGCGACTGAGGGGACCTATTAAATCCACCGCTACTCGGTGGAAGGGCTGTTCGATGATGGGTAGGGGGTGAAGCTTAGCCTTCCGAAGGTCTCCCCTTTTTCCTACCCTTTGGCATACATCACATGTCCTACAATAGTACTTTAGGTCCTGGGTAGCTCTGGGCCAGAAGAAGGTTTGAGTTAACCTGTCTCTGGTCTTTTTGACCCCTAAATGTCCTGCTAGGGGAATGTCATGACTGAGTTTTAACAACTCAGCCCGAAATTTACGGGGCACAACTAACTGTCTTTTTATGACCTGGGTAGCCCCCTGTCCCACCCCCTCGGTTACCCTATATAGCAACCCCTTATACCATTCAAATTTTTCGTGCGGGTTGTTCTCGGGGGTAGCGGCCGCGGCCTTCCTATAGCCTTCTAATGTGGGGTCAGTACGCTGTTCCTGTTCAAACCCCTGGGGGGTATCCCAGAAGGGTACGGGGGGATCGGGTAAAGGGGGTATTTCGACTCTTACCTGGTTTTCCTCAGAGTGCAGCGGAGCTTCCAGTCTGGCTTGAGCTCGGGTGGTAACCGGGTAGGCCTCGGCAGGGGGGTCTCGGGCTAGTTGGGAGGTTAGGCATCCCACATCATTTCCCAACAAAACCTCGGCGGGCAGTTCTTGCATAATCCCCACCTCCAGTTGTTTAGACCCGGAACCCCAATCAACAAACATATTAGCGGTGGGCAGTTTGTGAATAGCGCCCCCAGCCACCCTTACAGCGACTGTGCGTCCGGTGCGAGCTTGTGCTCTGACCGTGTGGGGCTGTACCACAGTCAAAGTAGCCCCAGAGTCTCTCAGCGCCCGGGCCCCCACGCCATCGACGGTAATCCATTGGCGGTGATGGTCCCGGTTGTCCCCCCCAGCTTGTACTGGATTAACCTCATGTAATACACTCCACTGTTCTTCGGGGTTAAGGCCAGGGCCTGTGTGATCCTGTTGCACACAGTGCGCAGCTGCCCTGGGTTGTTGTGGGGCGGGCCGTTCCCAGCTTCCCCGGTTTAAGCGAGGGCACTGATACTTGTAGTGTCCTGGTTGCTTGCAGTAGTGACACACTGCAGGAGGTCGAGGTGTGTTTGCTGGGTTCGGTGGGGGGTTACCTATGGCAGGTCTAGGTGGAGCCGGGTTGGTTGGAGCTGTGTACTGAGGCTTAAATGGTGGTCTGCTCGCCCCTTGCTCTTTCCTCCTGTTATCCTGGTACTCGTCCGCTAGCCTAGCGGCCTCCTCCACGGTTTTTGGTTTCCTATCTTTTACCCAGTCTTTTATGTCCTCTGCAGTATGATTAAAAAATTGCTCCAGTATCACTAGTTGTAAAGCCTCTTCTAGGGTGGTTGCCTGGCAGCCCTTCATCCAATTGCGGGCTGCCCGCTGCAGGCGAAAAGCCCATTCCGTATGGGAATCTCTCCCGGTCTTTCTCAGTTCTCTAAACTTTTTCCGGTATGCCTCCGGAGTTACCGCATATCTGGCCAACAAAATGTCTTTTATTTTCTCATAATTATGTATGTCCCCCTCAGGTACTGCTCGCAGCGCCTCGGCTGCTCTACCTGACAATTTACTGCTGACGACTGCAGCCCATTTGGTGGAGTCTAATCCCTCCAGTGCACACTGACGTTCAAAGTCTTGCAAGTAACTGTCAATTTCCATTTCATTGTCAACAAATGATTTAAACGCTGCATAATTTACCTTCTTTGGTATTTCCCCAATACTTCTCGGGGGGTGTAGCAAATCCCCCTGTGACGCTCTGTCCCGGTCATCTCGCTCTTTTTGCGCTTGTCTGGCTTGTGCTACGACCTGCAGTATCGCCTCTGAGGATGGATTGGGTCCCAATAAACTGAGTGTCCATCGGATGTCCTTTTGCATCACGGTTTCTTCCTCTTGATCCATCTCTATATTACTGGTATTATCGCTCTGCATTAACTCCGCAATTATCGTGGCTTTTGTTTTGTTACTTGCCACTCTGCCTCGAGCTTCCAGTAAGTCCTTTAGCGTGGTTCTTTTAAGTAGCTGGTACTGCTGAGCCATTCATTCCTTTGCTTGTTTTGAAGTGTCCATTTGGGATTCGAATCCCTCCGCTTGCCACCAGTTGTAAGGAAATCAAGTATAGCTGAACCGCTTTGATTATTCCTCCTGCAATGCCAGCGTCTAGGGTAAACCCAAGCAATGAAGTCCATAAGAAATATAACAGCTTCCCAAGATAATCCCCTTGGTAAAGCATACGAATTCCCAAATAACAGTCAGAGTCCAGAATCAGGATACAAGTAGATCTGAGGTCTGGAATCTCCAGCCTGCTTTTTATTAGGGTTACAGACAAAAAATACACACCCAGGGGGAGGCATTAAATCACCAATCAGGTACAGGTTACAGCCCCTACCTCCCTCCCCTCTGATAAACAGTTAACTTCATTAAAACGTGCACTATTTTACCCCAGTTCTGGATGTACCCCAAAAACAGGGGGTACACCTTTAAATTGGGCACCGCTGGATAGTGCTCACTTGTGGGGACAATATGTCAAAAAATCAGTCCATTCGGATGAATGGTTCGGGAGTTATGGAGCACTAAAGTTTTGACCGACCGCACGGATCATCTAGCCGAAAATAGTTCCATAAGTTTTGGCCCTGCGGTCGGTCTCCGTTTAGGCGAATAAAAAAGACGAAAGTCCTGCCATCCGTTCGCATCTTTGTGGTCGTTGAAATCCCCATACGAAGTTGCATGTAACTACCGAACGGCCGGTGATTCGTTTTTTTCCGTGCGAAGTTCTGGATGTATGGAGGTCTCAGCGGTGTTCGCCTGTTTGCGTATCCGATTTTAGTTCCACGCGTTTGACGGGCAAACACCGCTGTTCGCACGTAAAATGGCCGCGACCACGTGTAAAGTGCCGAAATGGCGGCCACCTAGAGTTTACACGGGGAATTCGCCTGAATCCATTCGAAGGGTAGAACTTATAGCTATATGCCGAATTCCAGCTGAATTGGGTGAATTAATTTGTGCAACAAAGGTAGAAATCCTGATGAACGGAGTCATTTCTTCACACTGATTATGCTATTCTGTTCCGTACCCTTCTTCACAGGTAGATTGGACCAACAATGGGCTTACTACTGCGTTCATGGAAGGTCTATCTGAAACTATATTGGATGAGGTAGCCGCTAGGGATCTTCCTGTACCCTTAGAAGACCTTTTTGACTATCTCATCGATATAGATAATAGGATTCGTGACAGGCTATATACCAAGACTAGGAATAGATGCTTTGTTTCATTTAATACACCTAGAGCTGAAACTCCTGAGGGTTCCAAAGGATCAGAGGAAGAACCCATGCAGTTAGGGGTTGCTAAACTTACTGATGCTGAAAAACTATATCGGAGAAAAGAGGGACTTTGCCTTTATTGTGGTAGGAAGGGCCATATGAGACAAGAATGTCCGGTGCGTCCGGAAAACTATTGCACCTAAGACCGTATAGGGGACAGGCCTTGGGTCTTGCATAAAGTTAATCCTGTTTCTTATGCCTTGGATCTTCCCAGTAACCTGTGTATTCCTAACGTCTTTCACACCTCCTTGTTGAAGCCGCTACTGTGTAACCATTATACCCGATATGTTCCTCCTCCTCCTCCTGTTTCTGTGGAGGGTCATGAGGAATTTGAGGTGGCTGCCGTGCTTGACTCTCGTGTTCTCCGGGTCGCCTCCACTACCTGGTGCATTGGAAGGGATATGAGCCGGAGGAACGCAGCTGGATCTCCGTTGACTCTGTTCACGCTCCTCGCCTTCTGCGCTCCTTCCATTCTCATTTTCCTGCCAGGCTAGGCCCTCCCCGCCCGGTGGGCGTGTCTTTGGGGGGGGGGTACTGTAGCGGTACTTACCCTCTCCAGGGGCCGGGCGAGGTCCTCCTTCCCCGCCCACACACAGTCCTGTAACTGGACAAGCCGCGTGTCCGACGGGAAGGCGTGCACTGACCGCGAGAAGTGGCCACGTGACGCGCCTGGCACTGGGAGCGCACCGCGGATAGCGGGCGCACTTTTAAAGTGGGAGCAAAAAATAAAAAAGGTCTCCCATTGGCCCATGTCATTCCACATTCCCCATACACTCAAGTTTTGGGGGCGTGGATATGACAAGGGCCAATCAAATTAAACTATAGGTACCTTTCCCTTAACTCCCTGCCCTATCGTGGTTTCTGATTCAGTTCCCTTTAGTGCTTGCTTCATGTAGTAGTGTTTTTTTTCGTGCTTGACCTTGGCTTTGTACCTGACTCCGTTTTTCTCTTTATCCCTGCTTTGTCTTGTTTGCCGGTTACCTGACTCCTGTGTACCAGTCCTTGGCTAGTTCTTGTTTACGCTGTCTCTCTGTTCCCTTGACCTCGGCTCGTTCTTGACTCTGTCTTTTCCTGTCAACGTCAAAGTCCGGCCATTCTAAGGTCCGGTAAGACGTATATTGTTTTCTTGTCTCTTGTTGGACTATTCTTGCGTGTTGGGGTATACTACCATGACAGTCTCACAACAGTGTGACAGGCGTAATTAATACAGTTACTTCACTGTCTCAAAAAATTAGAATTTTTCAACCAACAATGTAACAGTAGTTTTTAACGGTTTTATTGGACTGCAAGAAATGCACCACAGGCCGCAAATGTACCAAGAAAATGTGAATTTTTTAAAGTGCGATTTAACCACAGTATTTGACTCTCAGATATGTAGTGCAAGCCCCAAATTTACTTTTTAGCTCCCAAAAAATTTGAATCGGTCAAACTGCGATGTAACCACAGTATTTGCCGGTTATATTTGACTCTCAGATATGAAGTGCACGCCCCAAATTTACTTTTTAGCACCCAAAAAATTTGAATTGGTCAAACTGCGATGTAACCACATTATTTGACGGTTCTATTTGACTCTCAGATATGAAGTGCACGCCCCAAATTTACTTTTTAGCACCAAAAAAATGTGAATTTTTCAAAGTGCGATGTAACCACAGTATTTGACGGTTCTATTTGACTCTCAGATATGAGGTGCACGCCACAAATTTACTTTTAAGCACCAAAAAAATGTGAATTTGTAAAACTGCAATGTCACAGCAGTATTTAAAAATGCCTAGATGTTGCCCACTGAGCTACCAGAACAGGATTAAAGTAATGTGCCTGGCACATATGCAGTTGCAAGTGCCCACCTAACAAACAGACTGATTGCTTATTTATCTGTGGCACTGGGCTCAGAGCAGGGTACAAAAATGTAGTATAGCACCCACAAAAATAATCGCTGTAGTTTGCAGATTAAGCACCAGAATTCCTTCCTAATCTGTCCCTCACAGCTGCAGCATCCTCTCCCTACACTAATAAGAGCTCATGTGACTCCCACTTATATAGAGGCTGGGTCACATGCTGCACTGGCCAATCACAGCCATGCCATTAGTAGGTATGGCTGTGATGGCTTCTAAGGGCACACGAGTCAAACGCTTGTTGATTGGCTGCTCTGCAGCTTTTCAAAACGCGCCATTAAATTGCCGAACACCGAACTCGACCCTGGTATGTACGCCACTGCCCCCTGCCGTGCTAAACACACGTTCAGACAATACACTGCCTGCAGGGCAGGCCAGCACCTCCAAGGCATAAAGAGCAAGCTCAGGCCATGTGCCTAATTTGGAGACCAAGAAATTGAATGGGGCAGACCCATCAGTCAGTACGTGTAGGCGTGTGCACATGTACTGTTCCCCCATGTTGCTGAAATGCTGCCTCCTGCTAAGACATTCCATGTCAGCTGGTGGTGCTGGTTGGTGTGGCGTGCTGACAAAGATTTTCCACATTTCATCCATGATAACCCTGCCTTCTGAGGTGCTGGCGGTGCCCCAGCTGTGTTGGCGACCTCTTCCTCCTCCTCTGCCTTCACCTTGTGCTTCCACTGAGCCCCCGGTGTCAGTTGGGAATGCCCTCAGCAGCGCATCTACCAGCATGCGCTTGTAGTCGCGCATCTTCCGATCACGCTCCAGTGAGGGAATTAAGGACGGCACGTTGTCCTTGTAACGGGGGTCCAGCAAGGTTGCCACCCAGTAATCAGCAATAATGGGCAACTCGGCAGTCGTTGCGCAGGCACTGCAGCATGTAGTCGCTCATGTGTGCCAGGCTGCTCAGAGGCAAGGACAAGCTGTCCTCTGTGGGAGGTGTAACGTATGCGTCCTCCTTATCCCCCCAGCCACGCTCCAGTGATGCCCACGAGCTGCGTTGGGTGCCACCCAGCTGTGAACACAGTTCCTCCTCCTCCTCCTCCTCCTCCTCCTCCTCCTCATCCTCCAGAACTGTGCCCTGGCTGGACAATTGTGTACCTGGCCTATGCTGGTCCAGGAACCCACCCTCCGAGCCACTTGTGAATGACTGGCCTGATAACCGTGGAAATGACCCCTCTTCCTCCTCCTGTTCCTCCTGTGCCACATCCTGTTCCATTATCGCCTGAAGCGTTTTTTCAAGGAGACATAGAAGCGGGATAGTAAGGCTGAGAACGGCGTCATCGGCACTGGCCATGTTGGTGGAGTATTGGAAACAGCGCAACATGGCACACAGGTCTCGCATGGAGGCCCACTAATTGGTGGTGAAGTGGTGCT